CGGAATTGTTAAATAAAGGTATGGCACCTGAGTTCAAGTCCTGACATGCAAAACTGCTGTAAATGTTCCCATAAGAAAGAAAAATTGAAAAGTGAAAATGAAGGCCAACCAAAAGCTGTTGCGTCCTTATGATAACCTTGTTTTATTTTCACGGCTGTAGAGGGAATTACTGTCACATCTGAAAATACAGATCTGAAACTGGTACACGTTACTCATCGTAACCAACATGAAGACCCCTATCGCAACTTTCAATCCACTTTGGAACTTGCATAGAAATAAAGTAAGTAGCACGATTTTGGTAACCCTTTTGTAGCTCTCAAAAACACTGCAGCTATCAGAAGTGCACAAATGTCACAGAAAGCCTGCATTCATAAGCAAGACGTTCAGTTGATGTTGATGCAAAATACGGAAATAGCACAGTCTGTGCCTCTCACTACCAGGTCAGATTTGCTGGGCAGACAGCTGAAAAATCATCTTTGTACTCGTGCGCTAAGTACATTCTGTAAACTACTCAACAACTAAATTTACATTAAAAAAATAATAATTCAACGATGGTATTATTTCAAAATAGGATCTTCTTACAAAGTGGATGTTTCCTAAAAGCCAACCAAGTATAAGAATTTTTCTCCTTCTAACACAGACCTACCTTGCAGTGTGTAAACGTGTTCTTTATTACATAAAGAACCGAGGATGGAAGGGTGCGGATACTCTCCAGAGGCACACATTCTTGCAGTGTGCAGAGATACCGTACACAACCAGTCAAAGTTTCCAACAGTTGCACCATAGTCTTAAAGCAAGAATAAACAACAACAATCAATGTTTTTCACTCCTGCAATAATTTCAAAAGCATCTTTTCTTAGCTGAATTGCACCTAGATTTTTATAGCGTTTAAAGTTCACTGCTATTTAATAAGTAGTTTGTTAAAGATGAAAGAAGTGCCATAAAATAATATCAAGTAATTCCAGACCTTTTCTCCAATACCATATGCTCTTTGAAAGTTTCATATTTCTTTTGACTACTGTTCTCAATTTACAAAAATTTTAAACCTCTTAATTAAGTGACTGTATGAATGGGTGCCACATTCACTCTTCAAATATGGAGAATTGCATTCCATTTGCATTAGAGAATTTGAGATTATTTTTTTTTTTAAATTCTGATTAGCATCACACACTAAATGTAATCAAATCATTCACAAAATTTTAATTGAACTTCAACTTCAAAGGAAGTTCAAATTACATGTTAACCAGCTGGTTAGTAACTAACAAAAACATTCTAAAAACCTCTTAATTGTTTAGGTAAAATAAAGAATAATGTAAACATTCCTTTGACAACTTATTTCACGGGACTTGCCTGTAAAAGATTCCTTACAGTACTGCATAACTCTCTATTCTGGCTGGTTAATCCTTTGGCCTCACTGGATAATTCATACATCAAGTTATCAAATAACTGTAGAGTCTGTCAGAACAAAACAAAACTTAAACATTTTGTTTATAAACATACACATGCAAGTAGAAACACCATTCTATATCTGCTTGCTTCCTTGGCAGGGAGTCCTGGGCTACTGAGATAACTCACAGGAAAAAATAATGCTTTCTAGCATTTGAATCATAAAGCGTGATATGCCAAGAAGCAAAACCTGTCTTATAGTTTTCCCGAATTATAGACAGAACCTATATTAGCTGTTACTTTTTATAAAACCTGTTAGTAAAACAAAATTCCTAGCTAATTCACTTGAAATATACACCTCATTCTACCACAGATTTTTTTACTTAGTTAAAACCGCGCCATTTTAAAAGGATTTTCATTTTGTCTCAAAAAAATTGGTTTTTTATTGAGAATAATCATTAACAGTTGAATGATCATTAACAGTTTGAATACATAAAGAAATAAGTCTATGACCTACACACAACAATAATTTCTACTTTCATTGAGGTCCCTGGATATTTTATGAGTGTTACTACTGAGACTGCAAAGACAGTGAGCGGCTTCCAGGCACGTGCAGGATACTACGTAAACTGGTATGGTACAGTAATCCTTGTTCAGGATATGCCTGTTATGGGCCATTTTTCTTGTAATCTTCAAAATTTGCTACAGGACACACAATAAGATAAGTGAAAATCAAGTGGCCATTTTTACAGGCTGCTTAAAACATACAAGCTGAGGCCTGAAACTTAAATCAGTAATTCGCCACTGCTTTACTTCAGTTAAAATGCAGGCGTTGAAGAATTTTAATACAACTACAGCACAAAATTCTCCATCATTTAATCCAAAAAGAGAACATATGTTAGGCCAGTATGGTCTAAAAGTTTATTCACTATATTATTCACAAATATCACAATGTTTATGCATGTTATATGAGTGTTGGGTTCTTCAGTTTATTTGTCCTGAGAGGCTACCTCACATAAAAATTCTCCACCTTGGTCATTTTCTAAAAAGCCCAATCTTCTCAAAAAGAAATAAAAACCAGTTCTGTTACTGAATATAGAAAGTAGAATATCATGTGTTTGATCCTCTCCTCACTGTAAAGAATGGTAACAATCACAGAAACAACCCAACAACACAAAATTGTTAAACTTTTAAAGGGTAAAATTTTAATTTCAAGTTTTGTATCCAAAGCAATAATTATATCATGAGACCTCAAAAAAGAATCACTGCATTCTAAGCAGGTTTTTAGCACTGGACTGACTGAAAATTCCACATTTAATTAAAGATGTCATACCTTAGGTAATACTTTTGAGAAAAAAGTTTGTTCCAAATCTGCAAGGCTGATATGGGGCAAAAACATTTCAGTCAGGATCCTCAAAACACCTGCAAAGCAAAACATTTATAAAACCTTACAGAAAGAGAACACGTGATTATCACAAATATGTAGCAACCTACCAGATGAAACAAAGAACTACCTCAAGCAGAAACAGATCAGATATTTGATTTTGAGAGGGGCAACGTAACATTTGCCACATATGCATTACCTGAAAAATCAAGTAACAATAACAGCTCCAACATGAGTAAACCCATTAATAACAGCATCACACCTGACTACGCTTAGCTGAAGGCTGAGCACAATTGTTTGCCCATGGAACTACAATTTTCCATATTCCAAACTGCAAATAGTTGCACATTTAATGAGCTGGTTGGCACTAATATGCAGCTTAACAGCGAATGTTAGCTGGCACTAATACGCAACTTAAGAATGAATGTTAGCAAGAATCCTAAACAGTTACATATCAGCCTCGTTTTCTTATCACTATCAGTTATTACCAGAGTTTAGCAACCTGTAAGATAATGGCCAAAAAGACAATAAAATACAAAATGAAAAGCACACTTCTTTCAAGCATCTAAAAATCAGAAGTACTGGGAAGGAAAAAGCAGCCTTACATGCATAGCTTCTTTATGGGCTTTTATAAAGCTTATTCAACATGCAATTAGTGTCACATGCAAGGTCCGGCAGGATTGCTAAAGACCACGAAAGTCACTAGTTATAGCAGAAGTATTTTTAAGTAGTGCAGAATTTATGAGGCAATCGCAATACAACGATCCTCAGGAAGAAGAGGCACTTCTTGGTCGCTACTTACGAATATGCTCAGTCCAGTCTTCAGACTCTTGATACATAGAGTAAAAACGTTAAGGAAACTCAAACTCGCTCTGCCATAAAGGTGATCTTTAAAGCATCCGCAGAAGGCACAGTGACTTCTCTCGCGCTGTCCCACGTACGCCTCACCCGTTGTATGAAATTGGCGGGGATGCTCCATAACCAACGCAGGCAAATAGACCTCAGCACCCGCACGATCAGCACGAGTATTTCTACAGCGTACTGGAGAATAAATAAGTCTTGCGTTTTTTTTGGGGGGACGAGGGGGGAAGTTATCTACAGCGCTAAATGAACCACACGCTATTTTCTACCGTGAATCTTTTATTTCAGTGAAGGGTTGAACTCATTTCCAGTGAAATACCCGGCACCCAGCTTTTCTGTCCTGTGTCAGCCCCTTACAAAGGTTGCACCGCTTTCCCTCCCACAGATATATTTGCTTGAACTGTGCAAGGCTGAAGGAGGCAGACCCGCCCCCCTCCCCCCGCCATTTCGGTGTGGCTCCCCACAGCCACCCAGCAGCCGAACCGCCCCCCCGGGAAGGATATAAGGAGCCGGGGTAGGACGGCGGGCAGCTCCCGGCGACAGAGATCCCAGTCCCAACCTCCCAGCTCTTGCAGGAGCAGCTCAGGATCTGTTTGGGACATGGCGCCAACTCCCCTCACCTCAGGGCCGGGGAGAGGCGGGAAAAAGTTACCTCCGCTATCCCAGCAGCCTCCGCGCTCCGGGGGGAAAAAGGGGGCGGGGCGGCTG